CGCCTTCTGTACCGCATTTCTACGTGCAGGCGGATTGCCTACTCGCTCCCGGGCTATGTGTCGCTATGGTCATGGGGGATAGGCAAGGCCCCACCACCACCCCCGCACGCCTGCGTGCGGTACAGAACAACTACAGCAGAGCGCGGGGTGATTCAGCCACCTGGTATAGCCTGCTGCCCGGCTCGCGGCTGATGCACTGGGGATCACTGGTTGTTTGCAGGAGGGCTTTGTCGCCAGAGACCTTTGACCGCAAGGCCGCCAGAGTGCAGCTGGAGATGCGCGTGTCGACGGGACGCGTCTGCCCGTCCAGTCTCAGCCCCATCCCCACCAACCGGTCTCACATCCACCTGGGCTGAGGAGGGAGGACGTCCAACGAATCAATTCTAACATCGACTAAAACTGGATACTTTTATGTTGTGTTTGTTTTCAGCAAATGCAAATACATTTTCTAAAAAAAACAACGCGTTTTGATATTGTAAAATTTCACCCTGTGACTAAAAAGTAATGAAAAACAAAAAAGCACTGAAAATTGGTCACCACACTCTCACTATCTTGCACTTCCCTATCCTTATCGCAGCATTTGGCGGGATTCGGCATTCCCTGTGGCTGTTGTTGGCAGCCCTTCCTGTCATTCTGACATGTTTACCAACCGCGCTACTGCTAGCAGACGATAAGTGCAGACGATTTCGTCGGGTCCGATTCGCGCCTGTACAGTACTGTGCCAGAATCTTTGATAACAAGACCTCGACGGAGGTGGGAGTGTTACTTTGATCTGGGGGCGTTTCAGTTCGAGCTGCGTAGCTGTCAAGTGCTGTCGAGAAGGCCGGCATGCAGATGCGCGAGTGGGAGAAACGTTGATCTCTGGCCATTGTTTGCCGCCTAGGGCGTTTGTCAAAATGAGGTCCGTCGGATATTCCCTGCTAACGTGGGCTACACTTACTGCTATTCTTAATTCGTCATCGGCCACAGTCAGATATCAGCCAGAGCAAGTTCATCTATCATTTGGAGGTATGTTTTCCTTTAAGTGCGTCTTCTCATTTCGAGGACATCTAACCTATGCCATCGATATAAACAAAGACCGAAACGCCATCCTCGATTTCTTTCTTTGAGGCGACCGTGTACAAATCATCAAGAGAATCGTATGTTAACCACATTTCTCTTCATTCCTGATGGTTGCAGAGAAAGAGCGTTCCATTGTGATAACTTGGTCAACTGGTAACAAAACTGACTCAATTGTTAAATACGGTGGAGGAGGACAACTACTTCAAACCAAAACTGGTTCTTGTTCCCTTTTTGTTGATGGGGGAAAGAAGAAAGCATCTCAATACATTCACCGTGTGACACTGTACTACGAGGATCCCGACAGTCTGCAACCAGAAACAAAATACTGTGAGTACACCATCGCCTCATTGCTTAGTGTCAACTAGTGAAAGATGTTCTAAGGTACATTTCATGGACTTTGTTTTCAACTCCTTTAATAGATTATCATGTTGGAAGTGAACTTGGGTGGTCTGCTATTTACTGGTTCTTGACACCACCTGAGAACCTCAATGGATGGGCTCCATCTATTGCTATCTATGGAGACATGGGCAACATAAATGCTCAGTCCCTTCCACGGCTTCAAGCAGAAACTCAGGCGGGGATATATGACGCCATAATTCATGTCGGAGATTTTGCGTACAATATGGATGATGTAAGTAATTTAAAGAGCCTTAACTCATTATACTTGTGTCTATCAACTAATACCGGTCCTATTTTCTTTCTTTTATCAGTATGATGGTGAAGTTGGGGATGAATTTATGCGTCAAATTGAGACAATAGCTGCATACGTTCCATACATGACTACAGTTGGAAATCATGAAAGCGCTTAGTAAGTATTTTTTTTTTTTCAAAATAATTCTAAATATCTATATAATTACACATTTACATGATAAAAATCTTCTTGAAAAATATAAAATTGCTTTTGCTTTTTTCTAGCAATTTTAGTCACTATAGGGCTCGCTTTAGTATGCCTGGTCCATATGAGAACATGATGTACAGCTTCAACATGGGACCTATTCATTTCATCTCTTTTTCCACTGAATATTATTATTACCTTCGTTATGGTTTCAAGATGTTAGTCAAACAGTATGAATGGCTAGAAAATGACCTTAAGGTAACAACAAGAAATTTTTCAGTTAATAACTTTGCACACTGTGGCATAAAGTAAAATTTTTCCTAATTCTAGGAGGCTAACGATCCTGCCAATCGTACTGCTCGTCCGTGGATAATAACTCTAGGCCATCGTCCAATGTATTGCAGCAACAGGGATGATGATGATTGCACTAGAATAAAAAATAGGTTGCGCTATGGAATCACTCCTCTTCGACTGTGAGTAAGATCATTCCATTCATTCACATTTCTTTGGTGAATTTCTAAGAGAAATTATGTTGTTAGGTTTGCATTGGAAGATTTGTTCTACAAATATTCTGTTGATCTGGAAATTTGGGCTCATGAACATTCATATGAGAGAATGTGGCCCCTTTACAACTACAAAGTTTATAATGGCTCATATGATCAACCATACACCAATCCGAAAGCACCCGTTCATATTGTTGTAGGATCAGCAGTAAGTATAAATGTTGAAATTTTAATTTCAAAGAGATCTTCTGTGCCATTTCAGGTACATGTTAAAATTTCACTTAATTCTGAAATTTAAAAAAAAAAAAATTTTTCAGGGTTGTCAAGAGAAAGTTGACTCATTTAACCCTCTACCTTCATGGTCTGGCTTCCGCAGCAGTGACTATGGATATTCCAGAATCAAGGTTCACAATGCAACGCATCTCAACCTTCAACAAGTATCCGATGATTTGGTAAGTAGAGAAGTTTAGGAAGTACCAAAACTCAATCATTCTATATGTACTTGTAAATTATATACCTTTTGTTTTCTTAGGATGGGCAGGTGATTGATGAATGGTGGCTCATAAAAGAAATGCCTCGCATCAAATTTCCTCTTGCTGACGAACTATTTTCTTCTCAAAGTAACAGTCCATCTCCTCAAAAAGTAGGAAATATTGAACAAAATCATCTGAGAGACTCATTTGAAGTGGAGAAATAAATTACTTCTCTAAAATCAAAGGGAAGCTGTTGCTCAAATTTGACACTATGTTATAGCCAAAAACTAAAAAGATAACTTGATAAGAGATTAGAATAATGTTAATTTAGTGCTAAGATTATACTTTTAAAATCCTAGCCTGCACAGCGTATTCTCATTTTGTGATATTTAAATAACTTGATGAATGCAGGAAGATGTCTTACAAAATAAAAATACAATTACAATTTCAATTGAGGTAATTTCTGTATTTGTCTTGATTTGGTAAATTAATTTTTTCCTCTTCTGGCTTGTCTTCCAGGAGAGGAAAAAAAGTTACAAATTGAAGTTCCTCCAACAAATGACTAGTGGGTAGAACACTGTTACAAGCCAGACAAACTAACCCGAATTTTAATGAAACGTCATAGTTAGCAATTTATAACATGCAAAGTGGCGCAGGTACACAAATCTATACATCAACTTTTGTTATCAAACTCCTGGTTGTCTGGTAAACATTAAAATAGAAATCTCTACAATTCTTGGGCGTTCCACCAACAAAACATGTCTACTATAATATGTTCATATGTCACCTACATAACAAATTGATTTAAAAAACAGGAAATGGGGAAGTACACAATTTTACATCACAGAGAACGTTAAAACAAAGTGAACACACAAGCTGCACATAGCCTTTCAATACCATGTGTGCCATGGTATATTATGTTTTGATGGGATTTAAAGTAACATTAGTGCAATGTGTTATGATACAATGGACTGTAATTAACAAACCAATACAAGGAAAAGAGATTGTGACAGTCAATACAAACTTCCACATGTGGTGAATACTGAAAACCTTTCACTACCACAAAGGCAGTTAATCATACCAACGAGCAGATAAGCAGTGAGGCACACTTTCATTTTTAAAATGATCAACACATGTAACATAATAAATTACTTAGATCGGTTCATGATGGATGCATTGATTATAAATGTGGTTATGCAACCAGCCAGCATTCAAAATAACAAAATATCACATGCATAGCATGCAGGGAATAATATCTCACACTGAAATAAAGTAAGGATTTACTTGAATCCTTTTCCAGAGAAAGATCCAACTGTCATGAAGCAATCACAACTGAATGCTTCACAAGTTTCTCTAAATTTCACTACAAAAACCACTAGGAGACAATTTTGCACATTCTACCACTATTGTTTCTTAGGAAAAACACAAATAAAAAAATAAATCAGCAAACATTTGTGGTTAGAAGTGCAAATTTATATCCTATGAATTTATGCGTCAAATTGAGACAATAGCTGCATACGTTCCATACATGACTACAGTTGGAAATCATGAAAGCGCTTAGTAAGTATTTTTTTTTTTTCAAAATAATTCTAAATATCTATATAATTACACATTTACATGATAAAAATCTTCTTGAAAAATATAAAATTGCTTTTGCTTTTTTCTAGCAATTTTAGTCACTATAGGGCTCGCTTTAGTATGCCTGGTCCATATGAGAACATGATGTACAGCTTCAACATGGGACCTATTCATTTCATCTCTTTTTCCACTGAATATTATTATTACCTTCGTTATGGTTTCAAGATGTTAGTCAAACAGTATGAATGGCTAGAAAATGACCTTAAGGTAACAACAAGAAATTTTTCAGTTAATAACTTTGCACACTGTGGCATAAAGTAAAATTTTTCCTAATTCTAGGAGGCTAACGATCCTGCCAATCGTACTGCTCGTCCGTGGATAATAACTCTAGGCCATCGTCCAATGTATTGCAGCAACAGGGATGATGATGATTGCACTAGAATAAAAAATAGGTTGCGCTATGGAATCACTCCTCTTCGACTGTGAGTAAGATCATTCCATTCATTCACATTTCTTTGGTGAATTTCTAAGAGAAATTATGTTGTTAGGTTTGCATTGGAAGATTTGTTCTACAAATATTCTGTTGATCTGGAAATTTGGGCTCATGAACATTCATATGAGAGAATGTGGCCCCTTTACAACTACAAAGTTTATAATGGCTCATATGATCAACCATACACCAATCCGAAAGCACCCGTTCATATTGTTGTAGGATCAGCAGTAAGTATAAATGTTGAAATTTTAATTTCAAAGAGATCTTCTGTGCCATTTCAGGTACATGTTAAAATTTCACTTAATTCTGAAATTTAAAAAAAAAAAAATTTTTCAGGGTTGTCAAGAGAAAGTTGACTCATTTAACCCTCTACCTTCATGGTCTGGCTTCCGCAGCAGTGACTATGGATATTCCAGAATCAAGGTTCACAATGCAACGCATCTCAACCTTCAACAAGTATCCGATGATTTGGTAAGTAGAGAAGTTTAGGAAGTACCAAAACTCAATCATTCTATATGTACTTGTAAATTATATACCTTTTGTTTTCTTAGGATGGGCAGGTGATTGATGAATGGTGGCTCATAAAAGAAATGCCTCGCATCAAATTTCCTCTTGCTGACGAACTATTTTCTTCTCAAAGTAACAGTCCATCTCCTCAAAAAGTAGGAAATATTGAACAAAATCATCTGAGAGACTCATTTGAAGTGGAGAAATAAATTACTTCTCTAAAATCAAAGGGAAGCTGTTGCTCAAATTTGACACTATGTTATAGCCAAAAACTAAAAAGATAACTTGATAAGAGATTAGAATAATGTTAATTTAGTGCTAAGATTATACTTTTAAAATCCTAGCCTGCACAGCGTATTCTCATTTTGTGATATTTAAATAACTTGATGAATGCAGGAAGATGTCTTACAAAATAAAAATACAATTACAATTTCAATTGAGGTAATTTCTGTATTTGTCTTGATTTGGTAAATTAATTTTTTCCTCTTCTGGCTTGTCTTCCAGGAGAGGAAAAAAAGTTACAAATTGAAGTTCCTCCAACAAATGACTAGTGGGTAGAACACTGTTACAAGCCAGACAAACTAACCCGAATTTTAATGAAACGTCATAGTTAGCAATTTATAACATGCAAAGTGGCGCAGGTACACAAATCTATACATCAACTTTTGTTATCAAACTCCTGGTTGTCTGGTAAACATTAAAATAGAAATCTCTACAATTCTTGGGCGTTCCACCAACAAAACATGTCTACTATAATATGTTCATATGTCACCTACATAACAAATTGATTTAAAAAACAGGAAATGGGGAAGTACACAATTTTACATCACAGAGAACGTTAAAACAAAGTGAACACACAAGCTGCACATAGCCTTTCAATACCATGTGTGCCATGGTATATTATGTTTTGATGGGATTTAAAGTAACATTAGTGCAATGTGTTATGATACAATGGACTGTAATTAACAAACCAATACAAGGAAAAGAGATTGTGACAGTCAATACAAACTTCCACATGTGGTGAATACTGAAAACCTTTCACTACCACAAAGGCAGTTAATCATACCAACGAGCAGATAAGCAGTGAGGCACACTTTCATTTTTAAAATGATCAACACATGTAACATAATAAATTACTTAGATCGGTTCATGATGGATGCATTGATTATAAATGTGGTTATGCAACCAGCCAGCATTCAAAATAACAAAATATCACATGCATAGCATGCAGGGAATAATATCTCACACTGAAATAAAGTAAGGATTTACTTGAATCCTTTTCCAGAGAAAGATCCAACTGTCATGAAGCAATCACAACTGAATGCTTCACAAGTTTCTCTAAATTTCACTACAAAAACCACTAGGAGACAATTTTGCACATTCTACCACTATTGTTTCTTAGGAAAAACACAAATAAAAAAATAAATCAGCAAACATTTGTGGTTAGAAGTGCAAATTTATATCCTATG